CAAGAAAGGCCTAGGGGCCGCGCATGTACGTCCCGGACGCATAATGCCAGACTATGGATGGAAAGAGTCGGAGGCGGCTTTCTAACAAGTGTCGTTCGTGAGGGCATGCTTCCCGGACGCACACATTCTGCACTGGCCACTACTCTCAACTTACATGAGCCTTGCCCGTGAGGTTGTGCTTCCTGGACGCACGCATTCTGCACCGGCCACAACTTTTGACTTACATGAGCCTTGCTCGTGGGGGTGTGCTTCCCGGACGCACACATGGTGCACTGACCATGGGGGCACGTATAGATGTACTCTCACAAGGAATGGGCCAACGCTGTACCTGTGAGTCACACTGGAGCATGGATAGTACAGTACAATACATAGCTGTTTAATAGTTTTACACCATGGCACTAAAGTCCGAAGTGGGTCACAAAAGTAAAACGAATCAAACAAATGCGATGCGGGTAATGACAAACCATGTTGGCGGCACTGCAGACTTAGCCATGGAGGCGGTCGCAGAAGTAGATATAATGGCCCGAGCAAGGGGGGCAACTGGAGGTGGTGATGGTGCATGCGAAGAATGGGTGACGAATCGCCCGCAAAGATTGATAGTTTCCAGCACATGCTAGTATGGAAGGGTGGTTTTGCACCCTAGGGGCCTGACCGGCTTGACGAGCAGCCAAATTGCTGGTATTGGTTGTGTTGTGCAGGACGCCGTGGATGCTTCCAATGGTATAGTACACTACCAATGTCCAACAATGGCCCATTCGCCACAGAACCCTAACGCCGCCTGGCGAGCGGAAAGCCACAGCTGGTATTCTGCTGCCAGGCGGCATTAGGGTTCTGTGGCAAATGGGCCATTGTTGGCGATTGGTAGTGTACTATACCATTGGGAGCATCTCGTCCTCTTCCTCTGGTTCTTTGTCCGCCACATCCAAATTAATCCTCGCGTCTGACTGCACCGAAATGTCGGGTCTGCTGAAGGTGAGTCAATGAGAGCAATTATGGCAAAGTGAGAACTACCTCTCAGACTGTCCCCGCCGCTTGATGCAGCCCTTCCGATGGGTCAGCCAGGGCTGCATCATGTATTTCCGTTTGGGATTGAAGTCGACCCACGTCTGGCAGCCATTGCAGAACATGCGATACAGCTTTACTTCGCCCGACAAGGAGTCATCCTGCAAGAACTTGATGTGCTCCGCTTCCGTCTTGCGCTTCTTGGACGACTCTGCGACAGAAGCGCCGTCATCTCCGAGACTGTCTGGGGTTTGCGTTCGGCTACGGATGCACGGGAGTAAGAATGGAAGTGGATTAGGGTGTAATTTGGGGCTCGTACTCGGTGGCGGAAGTCGGTTTCTTGCAGCTCACACTTGCCAGAGGTTTTCCAGTCGATACCGGTGTTTGTGGGGTATCATTTATATTATCCATGACATGCGAGGCAACAGAGGAGGCTCGTGAATGAGATACTCTCTTGCCTCGGCTTACAGGCTTCTTTCCGCTTGCAGTGGTATCATGGGTATCGGGTTGTTGCGTTGTGCAGCACGCCGTGGAAGCTTCCAATGGTATAGTACACTACCAATCACCAACGATGGCTCATTCGCCACAGAACCCTAATGCCGTCCAGCAGCAGAATACCAGCTGTGGCTTTCCGCTCGCCATGCGGCGTTAGGGTTCTGTGGCGAATGAGCCATCGTTGGTGATTGGTAGTGTACTATACCATTGGGAGCAGCCACCGGGTGCGCTGTCGCGAGTTGACATGGGTGTCATGGACTATTTGTCTGCCAGGGTTAGGTGGTGGCATGACGCTGTTTTGCGCCGGGGGGCCTGACCGCGGCCAAATTGCTGGTATTGGTTGTGTTGTGCAGGGCCCAGGTTCCGCGATCCGCTCGAGGGCAGCATGCCGCCTGGCGAGCGGAAAGCCACGGCTGGCATTCTGCTACCGGACGGCATTAGGGTTCTCCTTGGCTCTGCATCCACACGCCTGAGGTGGATGCGCCCGTGCGCGTGCGTCCTGGACGCACACCCGCACACCACAGCGAACAATCCCGCGACTGCCGCAGATTTCCGCGCACAACGTCTATGCGCCCGCGCGCGTGCGTGCGTCCTGGACGCACACCCGCAAGCCACGGCCAACAATCCCGTGACTGGCGCAGATTTCTGTGCAGAACGTCTATGCGCGCGCGCGCGTGCGTCCTGGACGCACACCCGCACGTCACGGCGAACAATCCCACGACTGCCGCAGACTTCCAGGCCATTCTGGAAGCGGGATGTTGCTGTGCAAAACACACGGGGTAGACTTGCCACGAAGGCATGCGGAGATACGCGCGAAGGCTGCACGCATGGCGTGCGTCCGAGACGCACGCGGGGCCGCCGGACTTGTGATGGAGTGGGACTGCGGCACACCGATAAGCACGCAGTGCTCGTATCCGCAGCATGCGTCCGGGACGCACGAAGCCTTGCGGAACCTATTCAAGTCCTATATATACTCCATGCCAGTCGCAACCCAATTCCCTCATCTCACTTATCCTCTTTCTCTTTTCAATCTTCCCCTCCCACTGCCCCTCATGCCGACACCTAAAGTCCCCTCTGCTTTTCTTGACCTCGTCGGCGCCAACCGCGACCTGTGGACATGGGAGCCTTGGATCGACTTCACAGGGCTGAGCGACACCCCCTGGAGCGGCAAACCCGGCTCAAAGCCCAAGGGCTGGACGGACGACAACGTCGTGAGCGTTCGCGCAATGGTGAACGCGTATTGGACGGTCGCGCCGAAGGACCGAATGGTGTTCTTCAAGGACCGGCAAAGCGGCGCAAAAGGCAAGTCTAAAGCGTCATCCCCCCTCTCAGCGGCCGACCTGGGCGTCCTTCACACAGACGCACGCAACAAATGGTCGGCGTGGTTCAACGAGCTCTTAGGGTTAGGTGGTGTTGGCGTCGACCTGCCTGCTGAAGGACTTGTGGCTGACTTGGATGACTTGGGTGGAATGGCGTCCACCCCCAAGTTTCGCCTATACTTATAGGCTCTTCAGATCCGCTTGGTCAGCATGGTTCGCACGTCGCGAGGGACGAGCGACCGGGGCGCAGTAAGGCGCGATGTCAGCAAGGACTCGATTGAGAAAGAACTTGCTATGGAACTTGTAGAATGACACGCCCTCATTGGAGGGACGTGATACTGATTGCTAAGCGGCCCGCCATAGGCCCGTGTTTGTAAGCGAATATCAGCAAAGATGACTCAACCGTTAGTAACAGAGTTTAAAGAAGCTTGCCTACCACCCGAGAACTCGCCGAAGCGAGGGGGGCGCATGACTTACGGACATCCCGAAGGCACCGTCCGCTTCCACTTCTATCAAACCTAGCTATATAACAACGTCCCGAGGGCCCCTCGGGCACTTTTGTCCCGAGGGGGCCCTCGGGACAACGCCTTTTTCTGATTTCAAATGATTCAATTTTGTCAAATCTCCTTGTGCTCATATCTTCTCCTCGTCATCGCCTCTTGCTCATTGTTGCCACCAACATTTTCACGATATCATCAATGATACTCTCAAAACTTGTCACAGTGCCTCT